GAGGGGGCAGGGCCCGCCTCCTGCCCCCGCCTTGGCGCGGGTCCTGTGGGGGACGTGCTGAGCCCGGGAGGGCCCGTGCAAGTCCCGCCGCCAGTCGCAGCCATCCTAACTAGGTTTTTTTTAAATACATTTTTTTTAAATTTCAAGAAAGACAATTTTAACTTTAATAAATACAAATTCAAAAATATTGGGACCAGCAGTTAGCGTAACGGCTATGTGGCTGGACTCCCACGTAGTCGACCACAGTTCGAGTCCCAGACCCAGTGACTTAAACTCACGCCAGGCACGTGTGTGTGCATGCCCAAGATCCCGAGAGGAGAATAGAGGAGAAGGGATTGCGGCGTGACCATCCCCTCTGGGGGGTGATTTCTCGCTTTCTGTCTCTCTATCTCTCTCTGTCTGTCTGATGAGCACATGCACCCTATAGCAAAAAAAAAAAAGAAAAAAAAACTCTCAAAAATAAAATTAAGAGAACTTTGCTAATACTTAAAGCCAGGAAACAGGTTAGGATTCTGTTCAAATAGTAGGTACCTACCCACAACTCCAAAAAAGACAAAACTCCTTAACACTGGAAAACAAAGCATAGAAGATCAGTAATGTTTTAGTTAAAAGTCATCAAATTCTATTTCACCAGTTCAATCTCATGTACTTTATCTTCTGTTGTGGCCCAATCTTTCCATTTAAATTCTGGAAGATAACTTTCAACTCTGGACTTGTCCCTACCATTAAGCTGATCATTTTCTTAGTTGTTTTAGAACTTATTTCTGTGTGTCTGACTTTATTTTTCCAGGAATAGCACTCTCTTCACAACTTCCTGGAGAGCTGGTCTGGTGTTGGCAAATTCTTTCAGGTTTTGTTTATCTGAGAATGTTCTTGTCTTCTCTTCCCATATGAAGGATACTCTTGCCAGATGTAGTATTCTTGATTGAAATTGTTTTTCACTCAACACTTCAGATATATTTTCCCATTCTTTCCTTGCTTGTATTATTTCAGATGAGAGGTCTGCTGTTAGCCTGATGGGATGTCCTTTGTAGGTAACTTGAAGTTTCTCTCTTGCCAATCTTAGTATCTTGTCTTTGTCCGTGGTTTTGGCCAGTCTGGCTTTAATGTGTCTTGGAGAAGATCTTCTTGGGTTGATCCTATTTTGGGGTCCTTTGTATTTCTTGGGTCTGGATCTTTGAATTACTCTCTAGGTTTGGGCATTTTTCTTCCAGGATTTTATAGAATAGATTGTCAATGCCCTTCTTAGTCTCTTCATCTTCTGGGATACTGATTATCCAGATGTTTGGACATTTAATGGTATCTAGTATTACTTGTACATTATTCTCATTTTTTGAGGGCTATTTTCTCAGTCTTGTGGTAGATTTTAATAGTCCAGCAATTCTGTCTTCTACATCTGAGATTCTATTAATTTCTGTATGCTCTAGTCTGCTTTTAATACTTTCAAAGGAGGTTTTGACTTCCTGTATTATAGCCTTCATCTCCAACAGTTCCATTTGACTCTTTTTTATGGTGTATATTTTCTCTTTCAATTCTCACAAGAACTTCCTCACCTCCTGGAACTCATTGGCTTTTTTTCTGGAGTTCATTGTCTCTCTTCTCTTCCATTTCTGTTAGCTTTATGACTATGAATACTCAAAATTCTTTATCAGACAATTCCATGAGTTCCATTGTACTATCTGTGGATGAGGAGGAGTTATACTTTTCCCTTGGGGGAGAGGCATTTTCTTGGCTTCACATATTTCTTGTGCTCCTGTGGTAATTTCTAGTCATCTGATGTGTTAGTCCTTTCTTCCTAATTTGTAGAAGATCAATCTGAGCAGTCAGAGGCTCACAGGAGGACGTGGTCTGCAAACTCATTGGCCTTGTGTTTTTCTCCCTTTGTGTCACAGATTCAGTGGGAGTTGAGGAATATGAGGACACAAATAATATTTGGATTTTGGCAACTTTTCACTTAGACCTGTCTAGACACTCAGTGCCTGGAGGCTGAGCAGCAAAGTGATGAGAGGAAAAAAAAAAAAAGGATAAGAAAACAGAGAAAGAGAGAAAGAAAAAAGAGAAAAAAAGGAAAAAGCAAAGAAGCAAAAATTATTTATTTGCTAATTTTAAAAAACAAAAAATGAAATCACTAGATCTCAGCTCTCATGGCGGACTCAGTCTTCTTCTGGCCTGCCCTTTCTGTTTGCCTAGATAGGAGGAGGAAAAGGGATTATTACCAAGATAAAGGAGGATTTCAGAGCCAAGAAAAAACTTTACCTTAAAAATTTTTTTTAAAAGAAAATTTTTTTTTCCTTTGGAGAGGTTTTTTTTTTTGTTGTTTTTTTGTTTTTTTTTTTTTTTTGTTTTTTTTGTGTATTTATTTATTTATTTATTTGGACAGGTTTTTGCTATAGGGCACATGCACTCGCCAGACAAACAGAGACAGACGACGACCATGCCGCAATCCCTTCTCCTCCATTCTCCTCTCAGGATCTTGGGCATGTACGCACACGCACCCGGTGACTCGAACCACGGTTGACTACATGGGAGTCCAGCAACATAGACATTATGCTAACTGCTGGTCCCAAAATAAAACTTTTAAAAGTGAAAAAAACAGAGACAGGGAGACAGAAAGAGACAGAGACAGAGAAAAGGACATAGTGGGCACCACCAGGGTGACTTCTCAGCAGAACATCTTCTTTGCTTTTCTCCCTGAAATCACTAGATCTCAGTTCTCATAGCAGACTCCCATACCAGGAACATTTGAGTTTGTGCCCAAAATCCCCAGAGGAGAATAGAGGAGAAGGGATTGCAGTGTGGCCATCCCTGCTATGGGAGAAAAACACATCAGGTGTGTGTGCATGTGCGCTCCCTTTCTGTGTCTCTGTTTCTCTGGTGAACGCATGTGCCCTATAGCAAAAATCTCTCTTAAGAGAACCATATGTTGGGGAACCAGCAGTTAGCGTAATGGCTATGTCACTGGACTCCCACATAGTCGACCGTGGTTCGTGTCCCGGACCCGGTGGCTTAAAACTCACGCCGGGCGCGTGTGCGTGCGTGCCCAAGATCCCGAGAGGAGAATGGCGGAGAAGGGATTGCGGCGTGACCATCCCCCCTGGGGGGTGATTTCTCGCTTTCTGTCTCTATGTCTCTCTCTGTCTGTCTGGCGAGCGCACGCGCCCTACAGTGAAAATCTCTCCAAAAAAAAAAAAAAGAGAACCATATGTTATCTTATTTCTTTACCAAAGCATTTTCCTGCTATGTCTCACTATATATGTGTCTCTTCCTTGCTTGTAGGGGAGGGGCCATCTGGAATGCTGGCAATGGCGGATTCTTCTAGAGAACAAGACAGTGAGTCACAGGTACATGGAAACCAACCTCCACATCCTCTTTCACTTTGCATCACCACATCCTCTTGCCCTTTGCATCACAGAGACTAGCCATTGTATTTATTTATTAGCTTTTAATTTTTGTCTTCACTGCCATGGAAACCAATAGCAGGTGATACTTGTTGAAAATTTTGAGAACAGTTGAAAAGAACCCAAGAAGTTAAAAATGTGACTTAAGCTTTTAAATGTGATCTCTTTAGATTCCTATATGTTTCAGCTTTATTTCAAAACTAGAGACAAAGGTATTGGGATAGTTGGTGGGTATAGGGGTGTGGGGTGGGAAGTTTCCTACTCAACCCTTTGGCAGCAGGGGGAATGCTTTGGAAGAAGAGTCTAGCAGGACTGGAGAAGGCAAAGACCTTCCTATGGCTTGACATGTCAGGAGGTTTCTGCTGTGTGATGTGTTGTAAGGGGTGAACACTCCTAATCTAGCCATCTCTACGTGTCATCTCCATGAGCCAGCAGAAAATGTCCTTTCTAGACAGAATATCTTCTCCTTACAGGACCTTCCACAGTTCACCAGGTACATTCTCACTCATTAACCCTTTCACTCCTCCCTATGGCAGGAAGCAGAGGAAACCCTGAACAACTGAATTAGACCTGAGAGAGACCTGAGAAAATTACCAGACCCCTCTCACTGAAAATAAAGGCTTAACTGAAGTAACATGGCACTCTTTAAACAGTATAGTACTCTACAGTGAGCATCCCGGGCCAGCCCATGGCCTGGTGGTGAAGGAACCAGATCCTACATGGCTGATTGCGTAGTCCATGTCCCAGACCAGCAGCTTGAAAAACATGACTAGCACATGCTTGTGTGAGTCCAAAATTCTGAAAGGAGGGAGAAATGGAAGAGAAGGGATTACAGCATGCCTCATTTCTCTCCTTCCCTCTTCCTGTCTCTTTCTTTGGCCTCTCGCAAAAACAAACAGACAAACAAAAAAACAATAAAATAAAATGTCACACGAGAAGTCTCAGCTGTTCATGAAGAAGCAGGGATGAGTTGAATGGATAGCCCAGAGAAAACCTAGGTCATGGAGGTCCAGCCCAGAGACATTCATTCATTCATTCAGCAACTCTTGATTGAGCTCTCGCAAGTCAAAGAAGCCTTACTCCTGGCACAGGTGTTACCTGACTTGAAGCGTCTTATGGATAGTAAAGGAAGCAGAAATAAGAACAAATGTGATAACTTAAAAATGATGACAACAGTATTAACATATGTGCTTGAGATGCCCCAGTGATGGGATGCTGGCTTTCCAAAGATGGGGTAGAAGTCTTGAAATCCTGTGTGAGAGAAATAGCAGAAAATAGTTCTTCAGGGAAACACTCCCAAGTGAGAGTGGAGCAATAGAAAGTGCACTTGTTCCCTAGTCTGGCTTAGAGGCTATCTCCTGATTAGGTAGTTTTTTGTTTACCTTCTAATGTTTGATCCACAGAGTCAGCTCCTGGGCTGGGTTTTTTGTTTTCCAGACATTGGACAAGGTTTATCGAATGAAAAGTAAACCTCGGGGCTACTGTCTGATCTTCAACAATCACAATTTTAGCCAAGCACGTATGGAGGTACCCAAACATCAGAGCATTAAGGACAGGAATGGAACAGACGTGGATGCAGGTACAGTAGAATCCAAGAGAGGGATGTGAAATATTTATGTCCCTATTTTTTTTGTTTGTTTTGTTATCAGAAGGGGGGAGAACGAAACCTGTATCAAAAGGCCACATGTTTCAAGAAAAGGGATTTAAATATATATCCCCAAGGAGAATTTATACATTTTTATATATGTTAGTTTTCTGATTTTGTTTTTTTAATTTATATTTTTAAATCAAAGCAATGTATGAATAAAGGTAAAATGTCAAATATTATTAAAAAGTTTATAATGAAAAGCAACAATAAATTTTTCTTGTAATTCAACTAATGAGTAGTTCTGTAGAACATATTAGGTTAAAAAAATGCCTTGATATCAAGATTCTTCATAGAAGTGGCATTTATAGGCTTAGCCTTGGTACACAGGTGTTACTAACCTGCAGTGCTGGAAGCCACATGGCTGGCTGTGGACTTGATCCTGAGTTGATCTGAAACACATTGGAGTGCCCAAGATCCTGATGAGCTGGAGGGCTATGTGAAGGGGACTGTGTGTGGCATGATAAAACCCTGTTGAGGATCCTTATCTGTCTTTCTCTCATTAAAGAAATTTAAAAAGTTTTTAAAGGGCTGGCTATAGTGCAGTGGTTAAGGAAGCCAGATCCCACATGGCTGTCTGTGGTTTGAATCTTGGCCCTAGCAACTTGAAAAACATTCCAGGAACAGGTGCATGCATGCTCAAAATCCTAGCAGGAAGGAGGAATGGAAGAAAAAGGATTCTAGAAATGATGACACCCGCGGGGTGGGGGAGGGCTTTCCTCTCTCTCTCAAAAAATCCCTGATGAGCACAAATGCTTTCTGGCAATTAAAAATATTATAGAAAAGAAGCAGCATTTACAATAGGTGGGCTATTGAGTACAGGAGAAATAAGAATTCTTAGCAGAAATAGCATTTTCAAATGTTAAACTCACCAGAAATTCTTTTGCACAGCCTGTTTAAGCTAAGATTAAGAACCTAGGGACCAGCAGTTAGCGTAATGGCTATGTCGCTGAACTCCCATGTAGCCAACCACGGTTCGAGTCCCAGACCCGGTGGCTTATACTCACACCAGGCATGTGTGCATGTGTGCCCAAGATCCCAAGAGGAGAATAGAGGAGAAGGGATTGCGGCATGGCCATCCCCCCGAGGGGTGATTTATCGCTTCCTATATGTGAATAAAAATGAAAAAATAATGTGGTATATGAATCTGACTACATCTAAAAGTAATAACAGAAATAATCCAAAGCCACACATCAATATCGGTAATTTCAATTTGATCAAAGAACTTTTGAAAATGGTATTTATAAATCACACCATCAGTTAATGAGTTATTTTTTAAATTGATTAAAATTTAGAAAATTAATGTAGACTAATTATAATAATCAAGACTGTTAAATGACCCCTGTTAACACTTGTTTATTCAAGTACATTTATTTCAAGGGTTACTATTATTTTATTATTTATTTATTTATCTTTTAGTTTTTTTTGCTACCGGGCACATGCACTTGCCAGAAAAAGAGAGAGGAAGAGAGGGAAAGTGAGAAATCACCCTCCATTGGTGATGGCCACAATGGAATCCCTTCTCCAGTCTTCTTTTTGGATTTTGGGCAGGCACACATACATGCTCAATGTGATTTTCAAGCTGCCAAGTCCAGGACTCAAACCAGTCAGCCACATAAGATCCAGTGCCTTAACCTCCATGCCATCTGTTAGCCCCATCCAAATTTTTAAAAAGCTACAGGGCTTAAGCCTATTGATCACATCATTTGTCATTATGTACTTGGTATTAAAAAAAAAAGTTACAGACCTTTGATTTCTATTTGTTTAATATTTAAAAATTTCTACAGAAATAACATTTAATTCTATTTTTGGCAGCTTTTAAAAAAGTTAATTTTATTCATGATAGAAAGTGCATGTGCACATGTATGAGAGAGAGAAAAGAACCCTTGATGGAGTATTTTCATACTTCTGTCCCCTTTCCCTGCCCCTCTAGTCTATCAGGATCTTAGGGACATACATATATACCTGATATGTTTTTAGATGGACACAGGATCTGAACCTGTGATTGACCATGTGACTTCCAGCACTGCTATTCAGTTTGCTATTGACTGTGCCACCAGGTTGGGCCCTTTCTACTTGGGTTTTCCTGTTGGGTTGTTTTATTTTTTAATCTGGCTTGTGATTGGCTGGTTTCTGGTTGGCATTTGAATTTGCACATCCTGTTTTTTCTGTTCCTGTTCTTATGTTCTAAGTTGAATGAGTAAAAGTAGCTCCTTGAATTATTTCTTCTAGATGCTCCCCTCTGTCTGGCTGCAGTGCCTCACGAACTGCTTTATAGTAATTTTTTCTAACTTATTGTATGATTTTTAAATTTACATTCAACTATTGCACATCTCCATAACGCACAATATTGTTTTTCAGAGTATGCATGCAGTGCATGATAGTTAAATCAAGGATATTACCACATACATCATTTTTGATAGAGAACTTTACATTCTTCTGTGTTAAATGTTTCTTTCCTTTCCCCATACCACCCATCCTCTACCATCCACTCCCTTTCCTTATAGGCTATGGTATCTACACTTATCCTTCCTGTTATTAGATCTCCAGATCTTTCCATTTCTGCCATAGAGTGTTGACATTTGGTATATATTGAGAGAGGGATATACAGTGTTTGTCTTTCATAGTCTAGCTTACTTTGCTTAGCATTAAATCTTCTTATAGTCATTTTCTTCATCAACACCACACATTTCCAAGGGAATCAGAAGTTTCCCATAGAACCAATACATTATGTTTGTCTTGCCAGAGTTTTTCCAACAAAACAAGGTTCCTTTACATTTTAAAGTTATTATTTTTTTCTATTCCTAATGCTGGATTGTCCTTTGATGATTTATGTTTAGCTCTGATATGCTGATACTGACAAAATGTTAAGGAAAGAATAAATAGCATATAATTCAAACAATATCAAGAGAACAAGAATGGAGACCACAGTTAATGAAGGGTTTCAAACAATTTTTGGAAAAACGGAATAAAGGAGGATAGGTAATAATAGACTTAACAGAGAAAGCTACAACTGAGTGATTACAGTGGGGAAAATAGAAAACCAGGAAGCTCATTTATTTCACAGAATCTTGGAGAAATTCAGGAATTGGAGATACAAACAGTAGTGTGGAAATTAGCTGAAAATAAGGAAACTCTTTGAAAGTCTGAATAAGGCACAATGATACCCCCAAATCCATATGCTCATCTCACAGAGTCAGCAACTCTTCCTATTCTGCCATCATAAGGGACAGGAAGTTTATTTTCTTGTAAAATTGATCCATAAGGGCTTTAGACTTGGGGTGGGGATACCAGGCTTATCAAAGAAAGAAATGAAGCAACTTGTTGAAAACAGATTAAATAAAATTCAACCTACTGGTGCTATCGAGTAAGATCTCTAACTCAACGTGGTCCCCAAAATACTAACAGCAGATAGGAATTTTTCCTTCAGAGATCCTTAAAGCCCCAATGTCTTAGTCCATTTTCTGTTGCTATAACCTATTCTGAGATTGGCTATTTTATAAAGAAAGGAAATTTATTTCTTACAGTTCTGGAGGCTGGGAAGTCCAAGGGCATGATGCCAGTGTCTGATCAGCATCTGGTGAGGGCCTTCTTACTGTGTCATAACATAGCATAACATGGTAGATGGACTAGCAAGCAGTCCACTCTCATCATAACTCACTAATCCATTAATGCATGAATAGGTTAATGCATTAATGCATCATGCTATTTAGTTCTACTCCTTAATACAGTTATAATAGGGATTATGTTTAAATGTGAGTTTATGAAGGGACAAATATTCAAGCCATAGCACCCCAGATAAAAGATCTATAGATGATGACATCTGGCCTATGATCATACCACCCTGAATGTACCCAATCTTGTCTGATTTTGGAAGCTAAGCAGGGGTGGTCCTGGTTAGTATTGGGATGAGAGCCAATGACATCTGGGTCTCCTAATGAAATGTTCAGATTTTTTGACCAGTTACCCTGCTGTGAAGTTTAACAGTGAACAAACCATAGCACAGAAACAGGATTTCAATCAACTTTAAAAAAAAAAACTTTTTTCTTTATTCATGATAGAACATATGCGCATGAGAGAGATATGAGCACCCTCACAGAATCTGGTCTTGCCACGATCCCCTTCTTCCAGTCTTCCAGCCCAGCAGATCTTGGACACTCACATGTATGCCTAGTATATTTCAGGTTGACCAGGCCAGGGATTTGAACCATGGTTATCATGTGGGATCTGGCTTCTCTTGAGCAGCATATTACTGCTGTGCCATGGAACCAGCCTCAATCAACTTTTTAATTGAATAGTTAATTTATTAATGGACATCTCAGGATCATAAGGCTTAAGAAGAAAGCTTCTTATATAAAAGAAAGAGGCAATACAAATCAGAAAAAAAATGAAACAATATGAATGAAAAAGATAATGTTGAGAAAAAGGGTACTTTTAAAAAAGTGATATTTAATATTTTTAGAGAAATAGTAAAAGATCTATAAAAGAACAAGATGTTATAAAAAAGGAACATTAGGGGGACTAGCAGGTAGCTCAGTAGTTAAGGTTCTGGATTCCTACTTGGCCTATCGCTGTTTGAGTCCCAGACCTGGTGGCTTGAAATTCACATTAGGTGTGAGTATGTGTGTGTCCAAAATCCAGAGAGCAGAATGGAGGAGAAGGGATTGTAGTGTGGCCATCTCCTCTGGGGGTGATTTCTCACTTTCTGTCTCTGTTTTTCTGTCTTTTGGGCGAGCACTCACAAAAACTTTTTTCAAATAAATAAATAAATAAACAAAGGGACTATAACAAGAAAGAGTTCTTTAAAATAAAAAATATGAGTGCCAAAATGAAAAATTCAGACTGTGGAAGACAGTCTTAAAAAGTAGGACAAGTCATGGGTCCACCAATCATGGTAGTTAAGGCACTGGATTTCCACATGACTGATCATGGTTTGAGTCCCAGATCCAATGGCTGGAAAATCATGCTAGGGGTGTGTATGTGTGTACCCAAAATACCAAGAGGAGAATGGAGGAAAAGGTATTGTGGCATAGCCATCACCCTGGAAGGTGCTTTCTTTCTTTTTTTCTTTTTGGAGAGGTTTTTTTTTTTGCTATAGGGCGCGTGCGCTCGCCAGACAGAGAGAGACAGAGAGACAGAAAGCGAGAAATAATCCCCCAGGGGGGATGGCCACCGCAATCCCTTCTCCTCCATTCTCCTCTCGGGATCTTGCGCATGCACGCACACGCGCCCGGTGTGAGTTTTAAGCCACCAGGTCCGGGACGCGAACTGCGGTCGACTACGTGGGAGTACAGCGACATAGCCATTATGCTAACTGCTGGTCCCTGGAAGGTGCTTTCTCACTTTCTCTCTGTTTTCTGTCTCTTCTCTCTCTGATGAGCATATGTGCTGTATAACAACAACAACAAAAAAATGTAGGCAAGACAAAAAGAAAAAGGAATGGAAAAACTGGGACATCCATCCTCTGACAGGAATTCTAGATGGAGAGGACAGAGAAAATAGGAGGAAACAGAACTGAATGACACAGTCTCCAGAGTGAAAGGGCCTAATAAATTGAGAAAGAGTGACACAAAAGCATAACACAAAGTATCAAGAAGTATGAAAGTAGAAATAAAGACTCATGTAAGGACTACAAAATTTATTCCTCATGTACTAGTGGATATGTTCCAGCAAAACTAATTAGTAAGCCATTAATGCATCATGCTGGGTTCAGGAAGTAGGGACTGTACTGTGGAAGATACAGATATTCCAGGAGAAGAGAAGGTCATCAAGCCTAAGGAGCAGCCAGGTGGAATTGGAACAGAATTGATATAATGCTTGAAAAGGGTAATGCTGCAGGAGTGCTACAGAAGAAAATAAAAATGAGTCAGACAAATCGTTGAAAGACCAGATCTATTAGAGCATTTGGATTAAATAATAATAATAATAATGTTAAGCAACTAGGAAACAAAGCAAATGAGAAAGTAGTGCAATTACTAATTCCAGGAAAGACAAAAAGTTTAATAAGAAAGAAAATATAAAGAACATGATATGTATGCAGTCATACTAATAGAAATACTATAGTGGATTCAACCAAAAGTTGCAAATAACTGCATAGGAGCACCAACTGGTGATCTTCCATAATAAGAATCAATACAAAAGTCTAAAATAAAAATGAATAAATAGTAGTGTCCTGAATTCATTATAAAATAGGGACAGATATCATAAAGAGTATTTAAAAGTTCAAAGTGGTTGTCTTCATGGAATATAACTGAGCAATAGGAAGGGGTAGGAAGAGAATAACTTTTTGTAACAGATGTTTTGGGTCTATTTAAAAAATATTTTATTTTAATATAAATAATTTTAAGAGGGTTCAGTATAAAATAAATATGAATCTTTTATTAAAAATTGTTGTGCCTTTTTTCAGAGTATATAAATAATACAATCATCTTTTTTTTTTTTTTGGAGAGGTTTTTTGCTATAGGGCGCGTGTGCTCACCAGACAGACAGAGAGAGACAGAGAGACAGAAAGCGAGAAATCACCCCCCAGAGGGGATGGCCATGCCGCAATCCCTTCTCCTCCATTCTCCTCTCGGGATCTTGGGCACGCACACACACGCGCCCGGCGTGAGTTTTAAGCTACCGGGTCTGGGATGTGAACCGCGGTCGACTATGTGGGAGTCCAGCAACAGCCATTACGCTAACTGCTGGTCCCTCAATACAATCATCTTTTAAATTGTTCTGGTAGAACTGGTTTACACAGCTTGTAAATTAGTTTAGAAAAGACAATGGGCTAATAACAACACACTCCCCTTTTTTGCCTCAGAACTTGGAAATGTTTCCAGTTGGTACAATAACTATTTAAAGCCTGAGCTACTAATAAGCTACTAATATAGAACACCTTGTTCTTAAGTTCTGGTTCAAATACTTTTCTGTCAATGTTGAACCTGTTATGTCTAGCTCTGGGAAGAGGTATGGAAATTATTTTGGTCTAACATGACTTTTCTTATTTGCTTTCCAGAGGCTTTAGACAAGACCTTCAGTGAACTTCATTTTGAGATAGTACATTACAAAGACTGCACTGCTAAAAATATCTGTGATATTTTGAAATTCTACCAACGCAAGAATCACAATAGCAAGGATTGCTTCGTCTGCTGTATCCTCTCCCATGGAGACAAGGGCATTGTCTACGGCACTGATGGACAGGAGGCCTCCATATATGAGCTGACCTCTTATTTTACTGGTTCCAAGTGCCCTTCCCTTGCTGGGAAACCCAAAGTCTTTTTTATTCAGGCTTGTCAAGGGGATAACTACCACAAAGGGGTACCTTATGAAACCGACTCAGAGGAGAGGGAAGCTTATTTGGAAATGGACTCACCTGAAAGGAGATATATCCCAGATGAAGCTGACTTTCTGTTGGGGATGGCCACAGTGAACAACTGTGTTTCCTATCGAAGCACTGTAGAGGGATCCTGGTATATCCAGTCACTTTGCCAGAGTCTGAGAGAAAGATGTCCCCGGTAAGTTTTTCTTACCCAATCCTCCTCAAGTTTACACTACTTATCCCCCTTTCTCATCACTCCTACCACATATCCACATTCAGAGCCCATTGGAAAGTGCTTTATATGTGAGGTAATATTAACAGAACAGATAAGTGTCTAAGGGAAGTAATTTCTATTCATCTCTGGTTATCTAGCTATGGATCGCATAGCTATACTTCCCAGGTCAGTTGCAAAATGGGAGAGATGACAAATGTTAACATCTTTAGTCACAGGAGGAAAAATTGAAACACTTATTGAGGGGTTTCCTTTATTTAGCACCTCAAAGGACAAGCAGGATATCACGGCTGGGAAGGATAGTGAAGTCATACAGTCCTGCTTTCTGTCGTTAGACAGAAGCATGACTGAGCTTATTCAACTAGTTTTAGATGTCTTCCAAGAAGGCAATAACCCACTTTATTGCTTAAGATCCTCCAATTCTGTCAAAAGTTCTATAATAGTGAATCAGCTTCAGACCGGTTGTCTTGGTACATGGTGAGAGGTACATAGCAAAGACGAGGAGCCTTTTATATTTCCACTAATTTGGTCTGTTTGGAGCCATGAACAGAGGGAAGCACCCTTCATTTATTATATGATCTACTTCCTTTAGTTAAATTATGGCTTCCTATGTCACAGTTTACCCCAAAGCACACACAACTGATAGATGAATAGCAAGAAATCTTCTACAGGTTCCTTCTAGCCTGGTATGTCTTTATGATTTGAGTATATGAAGAGTGAGAACTTCTTGGGAACCAGCAGTTGGCGTAATGGCTATGTCGCTGGACTCCCATGTAGTCGACCGTGGTTCGCGTCCCGGACCCGGTGGCTTAAAACTCACGCCGGGCGCGTGTGCTTGCGTGCCCAAGATCCTGAGAGGAGAATGGAGGAGAAGGGATTGCGGCGTGACCATCCCCCCTGGGGGGTGATTTCTCGCTTTCTGTCTCTAATGTCTCTCTCTGTCTGTCTGGCGAGCGCACGCGCCCTATAGTGAAAATCTCTCCAAAAAATAAAAAAATAAAAAATAAAAAAATAAATTAAAAAAAAAAAAAAGAGTGAGAACTTCTTGTGGCATATGAAAGGGTGAAGCATCGATGAGATGCTTTCATTTTGCAACTCAGATCATGAATCCTGCAGGTTCTGGGGGCTGGCCATGGAAGTAGACCAAGAGATTGCCCAACAAAACTGCTAGGAGGCTCTGATGAGAAAGAGGTAGAGGTGGCTGCAGAGACGTATGAATTCACTGGCTTAAAGTTTGATTGCATTAGAGAAGAATCCAAAGAAATGATGTTAATTTGAGGCAGAAGGTATTGGGGATCATTCAGGCGATGGCGAAGACTAAGAGCCTATGGGTTACACAGTGAGAGGCACACAGGCCAGGAGAGCAAGAAGCCAAATACTGACACTGATGTCTCCGATGGTCAGAAGAGATCCCTAATACATTAAAAGTAAGTTATTAAGCCCAGAGACTGTTCTTTTACCTGGACAGCTTTAGTAGGTCTTGGTTTGGCAATTTTTGGGTTTCAATTGCCTGATGTTTTCAGAGAAAGAACTATAGCGTTGTCACTGTGCACAGCAAATGAAACAGTTCATCAGCAGTGTTCTGCCCATGGATGGTCACCATGTTCTGCTGTGTTTTGTTTTTCAGAGGCGATGATATTCTCACCATCCTGACTGAAGTAAACTATGACGTGAGCAATAAGGATGACAGGATACACAAGGGGAAACAAATGCCACAACCCACCTTCACACTAAGAAAAAAACTCTACTTCTCTCTTCACTGATGCTGCTGTTTACATGTAACACTATGCTTACCTTTCGATAAGCTACTTCTGTTTTGCACTTTTTTATTTTTTGGATTTTTTGGAAAGAGAGAGACTTCTCTGGCTTTTTAACAGCAGTCATGTTTTGAAATTTATAATCATAGCATTATTTTAATTGTACTTTTAAAAAAATGGAAAAGAGTCTGAAGGAAATACAGTTCTCATGAAAAGTATGGTAAATTTTAAAGAAATGTGCAAAATTTCAGTGTTTAAAATCAGTGGCCAATTGTTTCATCACTCATCTTCTGTCTGTTTTCAATCCCAAAGAATTTAATTTCATTCCTTTCAAATTATTAGGCCCTAAAACAAGACAAAACAAACAAAAAACAGGTCATTTTTCCAACCTTTTAGCCTTTAACAGTGACACAAAAACATTTAAGGCACAGAAGAGGGGAAGTGAAAGTAATTTCCCGCTAAGAGGCCCCAGATAAACAAATACTAAAGTACTGGGAGACACTACCTGTTTCTCCTCTCTGTGAGAGGGCCGTATCTCATTCCTAGTTCCTATGGTAATCTGTCAATTTGTATTCCAGCCATCTGTTGTGGCTCTCTGGGGAATGCCTGAGATAGCCTCTCAAAGGTCACTGAGGGAGATTTTGTTATCTGACCTAGCTAAAAGAACCGTATCTATATTGAGGTCTAGTGTGTAATGCTCCAGCCTCCAGACTGGTCACAGCTGGGAGATGGGACAGCAATATCAGAAACACTCGAGCTTCCTTCTTGCCTCAAAAGCAATGGAAAGATCCTCTGATTTCATGATGAAAGGCATATGACTCTATTTGGCTTAGATTGTGATTTCACAAGACCTAGGGATGATTTTCTTGGAGGTTTTTGTGTTAGGACATGCACACTCGCCAGAGAGCAAGAGAGACAGAGACAGTGAGAGGGAAGATGAGAAATCACCCCCTGCTCCAGGGGAGATGGCCACACCACAATCCATTTTCCATTCTCCTCCCAGGTTCTTGGGCATGCATGCACACATGCCCAGTGTGAGTTTCAAACCATGATGTTCGGTACTCGAACCACACGGATGGTCTTGTAGGAGACCAGTGATGTAGCTGCTATGCCATCTGCTGTTCCGATGATTTTCTTGGTTTGTATTAATCATGAGATCATGAATAATATTTCTGAAAGAACCAAATTAATAGAACATTAATGTTCTGTCCCTCTCTTTCCAAGCAATCCTCTACACTACCTAAAGAAATCTTTTAAAAATATATTTAGATATATTTACTCTTAATTTAAAATCTTTTAAAAACCTATTCTGTTCTCAAATCTTCTATTTAGTCTCATCTTTTGTTCTTACATACATGCTTCTGAGCTAGCATGACTTGCTGCTTGCTAACCATGTCATGTTTGTTTCATGCGTTTGCTTTTGCCTTTTTCTGTACTCTTTTTATTATAAATTAGTTTTTTATAAGTATTTTTCGAAAAATATTTTTAATGAAATAAAATATGTTACTCTTTTCTGTACTCTTTTTATTATAAATTAGTTTTTTATAAGTATTTTTCGAAAAATATTTTTAATGAAATAAAATATGTTACTCTTTTCTGTACTCTTTTTATTATAAATTAGTTTTTTATAAGTATTTTTCGAAAAATATTTTTAATGAAATAAAATATGTTATCTTATTGTTCATTGGAGATGTTTCTTTCGTTTGTGTTGCTTTGTTTTGTATTTTGCTAATGGTGTCTCACAGGTGGAAAAACGTCTGGCTTGCAGACACATTTTACAAGTCTCCCAATATTGGCTTTCACGGTGGTGTTTTAACAATATGCTGTTGGGACTGAGACTGGTGGTGGGGGAGGGAAAAGCGGCAAAAGGGGATTATTCAAAGTACCGAAAACCTCCTCCTGAGAGCAGCGGCACTCCCAGGCCAGGGGCACCTCTGGTGGGGCAGAAGGTGATTGCGTTACACAGATAAGATCATCATCTAGGTTTTGGGTAAAAGGCCCCGGATATTTCACGTGGCCATTTTGGAATTACAATGTTTTGGGGGGTATTTTCGTCTCAGAAGTTTATTAAAATTGGCAAGCATCATCTCTGAAGTGAATCCATAGTAGTGAACAATTCAACAAGCTACTTAAAAAAGAGACCCAGGCTTCTCTTCAGTATTTTGGTTCAAACGGATTATATAACTGGTTAAAATATTTCAGTTGGTGGTATTTTTTTCGCCTCCCTTCACCCCTCCCCTATTGTTGGTATTCTTCAGCCAGCACTGTAAGATATGTTTAATTTGTGTACTGAGTAGTTTAAGCAGTTTCAAATTGTGGTTTAAATATTGCTGAAGTTTCATGTAGTTTATTTTTACCTTTATTACAAGTTTTAGGAATTTTTGACCTCAGCTGTTTTCATGTCATAATGGGACAGCTTTTCTAAATGAAGACATTGAAAGAATACAGCATCTTTTTCCTTTTGTCTTTTATTTACGTGGAAATTTAAGATGTTGCAGTTTCCCGGCAGCGTGGTAGTATTGAGATAGCTGTGTGTGTCTCTCTGTATGTTTAGGAATGCTCTTCAGATCTGAACTTTTCTTTTTGTTTTTGCTTTTTGGCTTATAAATTGGATTATTTCATCTGGAGTGGATAAGTACAACAGTGACACGTACATGGAATAATAAAGAAGACTTTGATCTTAAATCCAAGGAACTTGGCTAATTCTGGAGATAGCCATATGAAAACTTTAAAAAAGAAGTATGGGTAGCTGACTTGTAACTCTACGTCAAATAGTCACAGGTCAAGTATCTTCAAAGAACTTGGATATTATTTCAGAGGATACAAAATAAGAAAACAAACCGGAAAACATAAAGATTACAGAGAAAAAACCAACACCTTCCTGTGCAGTCCTGTTGGAATTTGTAAGTATTATTAAATGTTCATTTGTAAACTGTAAGGAGAGTAAGTTTATCCTGTGTTATTCTTGGAAGTCTTTCAGTTTCTTGCAGTAATATTGCGTCCTACTCCACCATCATCAACAAAGTCGTCACTGAATTTTGAGAACATTCTGAAAACTTTCCATGGACAGAAAATCGTTATGATGTGAGTCGTCGCCGACACAACTCCTCAGATGGCTTTGATTCTGGTATTGGACGTTCTAATGGAGGTAACTTTGGAAGGAAAGAAAAAAATGGATGGCGTACACATGGAAGAAATGGTACTGAAAACATAAATCATCGAGGGGGATACCATGGTGGAAGTTTCCGTTCTCGTAACAGTATTTTCCATTCTGGGAAAAACCAAGGACTACATGAAAACAACATACCTGACAATGAAGCTGGGAGGAAAGAAGACAAGAGAGAACGTAAACAGTTTGAGGCTGAAGATTTTCCATCTTTAAATCCTGAATATGAGAGAGAACCAAATCAGAATAAATCATTAGCTACAGGTGTGTGGGGCCTACACGCCCAGACACACACATACCCAACCAAAAAAATCTTCCAAGCTCCTCTCTTAGAATATCCTCTGAATCCTAAATCTAGAGCCCCAAGGATGCTGGTCATTAAGAAAGGTAACACAAAAGACTTACAGCTATCTGGATTCCCAGTAGTAGGAAATCTTCAGTCACAGCCAGTTAAGAACTGAACTGGTCCAAGTGTTTATAAAGGCTTAGTTCCTAAACCTGCTGCACCACCTACAAAGCCTACACAATGGAAAAGCCAAACTAAAGAAAATAAAGTTGGGACTTCTTTTCCTCATGAGTCTACATATGGTGTTGGCAACTTTAATGCTTTTAAGTCAACTGGGAAGATTTTAGTACATCAACAAATTCAGTGAAAGAGTGGTGTAATCGCTCAAATTCCTCTTCACTTGTTGACAAACTTAATCAGCAGCCTAGTCTAACCAAACTTACATGAATGCGCACTGATAAGAAGAGTGAATTTTTGAAAGCATTAAAAAGGGATGGAGTAGAAGAGGAACATGAAGATGAAAGCCATGCTGGCTCAGAAAAGGATGAGGACTCGTTTAATTTGCATAACAGCAGTAGTACTCCCCAAGAAAGGGATATAAATAGAAACTTTTTTTTTTTTTTGAGAGATTTTCACTATAGGGCGTG